TGTTCTCTTTGCTGACATCACAACGATATTAGTATCATTTAGGTCTATCTGGTGCTTTTCTTTAGATATCTATTCATTTTTCTTTCATATCTGTCTACAAAGTTTTATTCTTAATTATTATGGATATCTATATCCTAACACTGATAAAACCTCTTTTCTACACTTACGCAAAATAACTGTAATATATATATCTACTGCATTTGGTTTGCAGTTATAGCTAGGATCATTAGTGATAATAACAAACTACTACTCCCCTAAATACGATTTCGTTCAGGTAATAATGATAGTTAATGCATACACTTCTGCATCCCCTTCGGGGATCGACGCAGAGAACTCTGTGAAGTTACTGGCTAGGATCTGTACTTAGGCAATCTCGGACACTGGAGTATAAAATTATAAGTTTGGCGGTTTCAGATCCCCGAAGGAAGATCGTTTTATACGGTTGGACTGAGGGGGATTGGCGAAGATTACTGTCCTGTAAGGAGAGAGGTAAGAACTCTGTACTCCGCTTGGTGTGGTTGGCCCACAGGGATCAGGATTCGAGCCCGCGTAGTATTGGCGGGAGCATTTTAAACGACCAATAAGATCTTCAGGCTTGCATGTTCCCCGCCACGATGAAACCTGAGAACCGGAAGTGGTGACCCTTGGTTTTGGAGCCCAGGGTGGTAACAAAGGTAAGCTCTATCCTCTTGAGGAACGTTGACTGGCGACCCTCTCCTTGCCTAATACAGAGGCCTCTCAGTTGGGTCAAGTCCGTGCAATGTCTAATGACGGAGCACGTAGACGAGTATTATTATTATTATATTCTTCTGCATATTACATGGTGTAAGTGATTAGCAAGTCCAGATAACACTGGAAGATCCATGGTTTGAACTCGATGATAGCACGAGTAGATTTTTCATATTTCCTGCTTTTTCTACGGTGACACCGCAGACTATCTGTAGTGTCTGCACTTGCTTGCGAATTAAAAGTGGACGACAGTAATTCAACAGCATCCAGATTTGGTTCGCCGAGTGACCCCTGTCGAACTTTAAATAGAAGAAAATACAAGGTGTTATGGTATCCCTACGGGCGTTCTCTCTTGATGTAATTGTCTAACACAGGAGTCCACAAACATTTTGTCCCTAAGAGCACATTCTAGAAAATCTGTTGGATGACGGGCACCATTTACGTTTTCAAGGTCAATTTATAGTTGGATAGAGTTAATAATACATGCACATAAAAAAATATCGGTCTCATTTCGTTTTATGTTGGTATCTGTGTTGGACGCAATTTCTATTTCATTAAAAATTAGAAAGCTTTCACATAGAATTTCATTGAAAACTAAAACTTTTTTATTGTGATCGTATAGCGGCGGACACACGTTAAACGATCGGGAGCTATGGTGCCCGCGGGCAAATGGTTGGGAAACACTGGTCTAACATATTGAGCTGCCAACTATATTGTCAATGTTTTTTAATATAGGTAAAAAATAGGTAATAGTTCGTTACTTATGTGTCATTCTTCAAAATGTCTAATTGATTCTACAGTCTTCAACAGTCTAATTGTTTGAACATTTTTTTGTACTTTAAATATGTAGAGTGACTAAGATGTGAATTAAAATTAACGGGTTACATCCACTGGTGTCATGTAAACAGCTGATTCATTCAGTATTTATTTAATAGCGAAAGTTATACTTGAAATAACTCTGCTATAATGCCAATGAAAGATTTACGTATAAGCTACACAAGCTATAGCTTAGGCGACCTCACTTTCTCTGAACCCCAACATTAAAATATAATATAAATATAGTATAACACACTTATAAAGTGCCCCATATCTCAAATAACTTAGGGCGCCATCAAGTCTAAATCCGGCTCTGTATAATATCGTATATTATATTATGCAAATACGTCGATGAAACTAATAAAGTGGGAAACATAATTTAAAAATTACGAAAACTTACATACCCTTGGATTACAAACATTGAAACCTTCTGAAGACAAGCCGATATTTTCATCTTGCAACGATTATGCAATATCCTTTCATTCTAATTGGAATTTTAAAAGTATAAGAAAATATCTATTCTCCCTTCGTTTCCTAACACTGATAAAACCTCTTTTCTAGTGTTATTTCGGTAAAACACTAAAACGGCAAATGAATTATTGTCCAGGAGAATCCGACATCACCAGCCTATTAACCGTTCTTACTCATTCCGGAAAGGGCTTGCTAGATTAATTCTTAACGTCACGAAATCACATATATTAACGCATTCAGTTCTAACAGTTATTTCCTCGATGTATTAACTAATTTAATTGAAGCAAGACATTCAAGGTTTATCGGCTTAATTAAAGGAAGGGTAACTCAAATTTTAGAGGAATTCTAAAAGAAACTGGTGTTACTTAAGTTATACTTCGGGAAAAAACCAATAAAATTAGTCACGGGAATCAGGTATTCTGCCATCGGCAGCGTTATAAGATATTTCTCCGGTTTTCTTAGCATGCCTTCGTAGTGTAGTGGTCAGCAAGCTAGGCGGCTATTCCAGAGGCCCGTGGTTCGATTCCCGGCAAAGGCGTTGCTCATTTTTCATCTCTCCTGCTTCCAAAAAATACCTAATAACTCTGCGGCCTTATCTATATAATATTGTTTTAAAATTTAATTTATTTAGTATTTCATTCTTAATTTCTTTAATGTAATTACCATTTTTATGTAAAGTAAGAAGGAAAAAATCATTTATCCATTTTATGTTTATGAATATGACTTCTTAAAAAAGGAAAAGCTAAAATATATTTATTATTTGAGTTTCATTATGATTTTATTTAAGTGTTTCCAAGAGGTTTTCAATACAACAAATGATTTTTTTCAGCAATTTGACTGATTTGATTCTGATTTATCAGGATGATATAGTTTTAAAAAAAATTACCCAACTTAAGTCAAATGTTTCTAGTTTTTAATACCAGTTGGACTGGTAAAATTTAATTATTAAATTCTGCAGTCACAGTACTAAATATTTAGCTCAGCAAATCGAAATAGTTTTCATTGTTCACTCCTAGTGCAGCACAATTTAACATGATTGTTTGATTTATCATCACATAGAATTTATTTTCTTCTTTTGTAAAAGTTATGAGATATTTTTATATCATTAATTTTTTTCATAAAACTTTTTTAATACTTCTCATTATTATCTCGAAATCTAAAGAAGATGACAAGAAAATTTTGATGAAATAACGGTTAAAAGGCAATAAACAACTTGTTTTATCTTCTCGGGATATTGCTTTTTCAGATTTACGTCTTCCGAAAGACATTATTCGCTCAGCACTCCGTGAATACATGGTCTTCTCAGGCAGTCAGCCAAAGGAGGATTTTCAAAATCTCTAGTTGAAGAGAGTTATGAGTAATTCCATAAAATTGCCTTACGCGAAGATCGAATGCAGGAAATATTTTACCAGTGAAAAATTTATACCTGACGAGAAGACCGTAGCAGTAAAAAATATTAATGATAAATCAAATTTATATATCCGAAATGCAGTTTTTTCCATCAAGTACGCTTGCATTTTTATTTCTTACAGAAAATTATTATTTAACATAGTAAATGTTTAATGTCAGTTTGATCTGGCCTAGCAATTAGTGATATGCAAAAGAGTATAAACGACTTTTCCTAACCTATGTGTATGATATGCACATGGTGGCTTCCGTAGATATTAATAACAAGAGAAATGACATAAAGTTTCTACATGTACAAATCAGTGCATTGAAGAGAAATTTTTTGCAAAACGTGTTCTCAAAATTTACAGCCAGAAAAACTATTGAGCTATTAAAAAGATGCTTCTGGAAAATATAAATAACATTGTAGAGACATTAGGATTTTTTTTTTTTTTGGAAGCAAGAGTGATGAGCAATTAGCAACCGCCTTCACCGAGAATCGAACCACGCACCACTGGAATACCGGCACAGCGTGCAGGACCACTACACCACGAAGCCACGCTAGGAAAGCGGGAAAATTACCTTATATACCCTTTTAAAGGGTGATTGGGGTTTTTAGGGAGCCCAATCGCCAAATCCTGGGTGAGGAGAATCATCATCCAAAACCCTTTTTAGTGCGGGCGATACTGTAGAGACATTAGGTATTTTTTTGGAAGCAGGCAAGATGAAAAATTATCAACCGCCTTCGCCGGGAATCGAACCATGGACCTTTGGAATACCGGCCCAGCATGCAGCCAGAATATCTGCTTTCTATCTCACTAAGAAAGTAGAATTTCACGGTTAAATACAGCTCTTCTTCATTAGCATTCAGACGTGATTCTAAATCTAAGTTCTGGCCGGAAGTGGTAAGTTGAAATTACGAATCGATAGGAACGGAAGTTTAACTTAAAATTTAACTGTTAATAAAATTAACATAATCCTTACAACATAAGACAAAATTATTTTACTATTATAATGTTGTTAATTAATTTTATAGAATTTTGATCTCGGGGTCACATGACCTGATCTCTATCTGATCGAAGTACATACTGGGATATTGACAGAAAATACTAACTGAAATGCAACAGATAGAAGTATTAACAGAAATGTTTAATTTTCATCCCTTTTTGCATTTTTCAGATTGAATTACCATTCGAAACTTGTGTGACCGTTTTTCACTTATGATATCTCCTGAATATTTAGAAAGAAAACCGCTTTCACTATCTTTAGGTAGAACGCGATTTATAAACTATTGTGTCCAATCTACTTTACGTAGAATTAAATATTTTGAAAATTTACGATGTGAATGAATGACTAGCCGTATTTGTTACCAAACGTTACCTTAAACTGAAATGTGGTATAACGCCGAAATTTGAAAATGTGTTAACTTCAGAAAAAGTATAATAAGCATTGATGACTGCTTTCGTAGAATGGAAAACTCGTACCATATTTTACTAGTTATAAGTTTTTAAACTATGGGTATGTTTATTCCAGTTAAGACCCTTACTCATGCTATCGTGGTATATTTACTTACAAGACCAGAATAAAACTCTACTTACATTGTACATCCAAGTGAACTTCTTCACTCCGACCTTCTCCTTCTGAATTTGAAGCCACGCACTGGTATCTTCCTCTATGTTCTTTCTTAACTCTCTGAAGTACTAAAGACTGATTGCTGACAATGATGCCTCCGGAAAGGTTGCTGTATAGTATCTTGTCTTCAAAGTGCCAACTAACGTCATAAACCCAAGGATTGGCGCGAATGTTGCAATCGAAGTACACATCACTTCCTTCTTTGATGGCAGTGTGTTGAATACTAGCACCCAATGCTAACCTCAGCTCAGGAATATCTGAAAAATTTAGGTTGTTTGTTAATGTTGTAAAAACGTTCAAAATAATGAATATAATTGTAATTTATTCCTTTCATTAAAATGCAGAATCTAATCAAAAATGTAATAACCCTTATTAAAAGGTCAACCTTTCCTGAGTATGAAGTTTTTGTGAAGATTTCATTTTAAGTTAGAATAAAAGAGGAATAAATTGGTCAGTTACAAAAGATTTTACTCTTTTTTGAACTGCTTTGCGGTATATAATCATAAATTCAGAATATAAGGTTAAAAAAAGAAAATGAGTATATTAACATGCATATATACTGCCGCCATTTTCTACGTCACTATATTATCTACATAAAAGTGTCTCCGCATTCTTTGAAATAACTCTACATATGCAAGTAAGGTATAAAGTGGCTATGCATCCTTAAGTGCAAGAAAGGAACTTCTTTTCCTGACTCAAAACATTGTAGATAAAAATTCTTTATTAATGTGCTAATGTCTAGAAGAGTACTAAAACAGCTAGTACAGAAAACAATGTATGATAACCATTACCATGGACGTAAAAAGAATAATGGATACGCTGTTGTTGTTTGAAATGATCGAAAATTTAAAGCTGAATTAGCCCTCTCAACCCTGAAAAACCTTTACACGGATGTACTGTAGAGAGCGACAGAATTATACCCACGGTAAAAGGTATATTCCATATATTACATCCTAATTCTGATCGCAAACATCCCTGCGAAAGGACCCTAGAAACTCCCGTGTCTATTTCCCCACCATCAAATATTTCTTGAAGATCTTTGGCTCACCAGGAATTAAAGCTCCTCATGCGGCAGGAACAATATATGCTTACAAAAACATCTAAGCTTTATCCAGGATTCAAACCCGCGTCCAACGATACGGTAGCCATCATTATTATTTACTATATTGATCAAGGAGGCATATTCGATATATCAAGTTTCTTTTTAATAGTAAGAAATATTTTCTAATTTATCGGATTAAATTTGGTTACGTTGGTTGGTTGGTTGGTGTTGTATTCTTTGAGAAGTCAAAAGGAATCATGAGTCTTAAGGTTTATGAGTCATTTGCTTACGTCTGAGGCACAACTGGCCAATACATGAAACATGAAGCTAATATTAACTATAACATATTTTTATTAAAATGCTTGTTTTCTCTTAGATGAGCTGAGCTAAGGTAATTCCCTTTTAAAATAATTATGTTCGGTTAAGCTGTCCTATCGGTCTTGACCGGGCAGTAAACGTTTACAGCTCCATCTCTGTCTGTTACTGTTCACGTAACTCGGGTTCTCTGGACCGGGATCATTCATTGTGCTAACTATGATCTAGACTCAGGTAACTTTAGCTCTGGGGTCATGATCTCTGTAACCGGCTTCAGATAAGCGGACAACCAGACAGTTCGAATATCATTTTCACTATGTTTAAAATACTGAGAAATATCGCTTTCTCAGGATTGGATTGGGGTCAGCAAATCTTAGAGCCAGTGGTAATATTTTTATGGTACCTGCTGCTTAGTCCACATCATATGGTATTGAACTAAGAGCTGTGAAACATCGTATTCGCAATAATCTACAGAAGTGCTTACTTTAGTGTGTATAGTTAATTAGTCTGATTTCACCATTTGGTTCCCAGTACTCAAATTTTTTACCATGAAAAGCGAAAAGAAATCAAGCAAGTTACACATGCAAATAGAAATATTTTACTGTAGAAAAACTTTCGAACAAGTCGAAACAAGCTTAGAACGAAAGAATATTTTCTTTCTACAATACCTGTTTTTTTCATTTAATGGCATCAGAATCATTCTTTTGTGATTTCCTAGTCAGTAATATTCTTTAATTTATAATTTTGCTACAGTTGGTATGCGGACACATTTGAATACAATTAAATGTTTAAAACGCCTTAATAATATTGGAATGCTGTTTTATTGCTGTTATTCCCTAATTTGATAGTTATACGAAATAATTTATTAAACTAGAAAAAAATTAGGCCAATAATGTTACGACTTGGCTACGCATAAGCACCTGAAGCCTGCCGCGATTTTCTAAAAAACCAATTCTCCAAGATTCTGGGAAATGGATGTGTTTTTAAGAAAATTTGTATGAATTAAATGTGTTTTTAAGAAAATTTGTCGTTAGATGTTGGAGACGTGAAAAATGAGCAATGCCCTCGCTGGGACACGAAATTGGACCTCACGAATATGCGCCGAATGTGCTACCGTTACATCCCGAAGGCAATCTGGAAGGAGGGACAAAATATCTTATATACTCCTCCTTTATAAAGGCGACTGGAGATTAGGGCACTCAATCGCCAAATTATGATAGTGAATTATCGTCGACCACCTTTTAGTTCGGGTGTTACTGCGGTCATTACGTAATGTTGATGCTCGAACCTGGACCTATGGAATGCGCACCGCGTGTGCTACCGTTACACCACGAAGGCATGCTGGAAGGAATGACAGTATACGTTTTACAGTATGACCCTTAAATGTTCAGAAAAGCATAATACTAGACATGAAAATTGAATATTTCTGTCACTTTTTGTTATAAGTCAAACGTGTGTGTTTTATTCTTTAGAATTTTTACGAACTTTCATTAAATATAATTAAATGAAATACAAAAAAATATATTTTTGTTTTATGAGATTAGTTCTTTTAATTTAAAATGCCAAAATATAAATACTTCTAGTTAATGCTTTTACTTACTTTACTTCAGGTTTTTATTTCCCCTGTCTCAAATTGCAAGTATACACTGTCAACTATATCTGTTGTCAACGGATGCGCAAATAAAAGCCACCAAAAGACTTTCATGGATACTCTGTATATTGAAAGCTCATTTGTTTTAAGAAGTTATGCATCACTTCGCGTTACTGATAACATACGAGTGATCATTTTGAGACAAAGTTATTATCTTCTGAAAGAAATTTTCTAATCCAATATGGCCACGAATAATGGGAAAGAAAACAGTCTAAAATAAGAAGTCCAGTTGGTCAGAGTTTGCTCTGTGATCATCTTTTGACTGTCCAATAAATCATTTTCCCTCTTTTTTGAAAGAAATATTTGACCCTGCTTCAGAAGTATGAAAAGAAATAAACAGTCTAAGCAAAAGGAAACAGCAAAGAAAAATAGGTACAACAAACCTGATTGGTAGAATAGAGTCATGGTGATCGGCGTAAGGAGAATAAATCACTGTTACAGTCACATTTCTAATTGCGCTGCATTATGGAATAACGTGAAGAAAAAAACGTCTGTCAGGTTACAGAGTAAAAATCTAAGAACGATTACAATAGGCATGGCGATTTTTCTGTTTATATGAGTAAATGTGAAAGAAATGATGTCTTCACGTGCTATAGCTTATAGTTATTATTTTCCTTCTACGCGACATTACAAACAAAACCATTTGCTGAATTTGATTTTTAAACAATATTACATATATTGTTATGAATTTCGTACATATATAAATAATTTTAGTGAAAATATATGTGAAATTGTAGTGTCTTTTGTAGTATAAAGTAACATGAAAAGTCTGAAGAGACGAAGTCTGGAAAAAAAATGAGATTCCACGAGCAAGTCTTTTTAACATAGAGGTAAATGGCTGTCTCCTAAACTGACGAGATATCGCCAAGTTGGCGATGGTTTTGCTGACTACTTTCTGTTGCCGAACATCGCGGCCATTTGGCGACATTTTGGTCCGGTATCTGTATAACTGCAATTTATCCAAATAACTGTAACTCCCTATATGTATCTCTAACTTTAACTGCCTTTTATTTAACTTTGACCGGTTTTATATGTAACTTTCGATAAATCGAAGGACTACAGGTTTCTCGGCGGTTGAGAAAAACTAAAAGACCAAAGAGAGGCATGTTGGTGGTAAGCTGTAGATACTATATAAGTAATTTAAAGTGTATTGTATTAATGTTATCTGGCAAAGCAGCGTATATGGACTTTTGAACCCTGCAATGCGAGTAAGGACTGCAATGCATGACTACTATTTATTTTGATTTACTTATTTTATATACTAATTAAATGCGTATTGTGGTAATTACCACGAATGCTATAAACGAGAATTACCGGACTGTGATTTTAACGGTCAAGTCACACGATCTCACACAACCTAGAGATAGAAACTTAACAAAGGAAAATATACTTCTTCCAAGTGAATATTATTTGTGCTACTATGAATATTCAACAATGTGTGAACACTTTTTTTAGCAAATTACAAAGCAACTTTTCGACCTTGTTTAAACTCACACATTAATAATATAATTACTTGTTACCGTGTATCTTCGTCCAGTGCTAGTTCATCATTCGTCGGCAATCACGTGATCCTGTAATGAAGAATGAAAGCAAACTTCGACACGTTAAACAAACAAAAATTCATCTTCGCATTCCAGTACTGCAAATAATTGCTCATTTGGTAAAGTTTGCAAAGTTAAATTGCTTTTTAAAGATTTCGTCAAAAAATATGCTCATAAAAATCTCTTGACTGCCATCCACGCATTTTCCCTCCGAGGTAAGGCGCAAGTGCACTTAACTTATTAATTACCGTAATTGGTCTTAGGGCATAATTAAATATACTGGTAAAAACTCTCTGAAGTTGTATAGCAGGAGTAACGAAAAGTTTACCAATTCGCCAGTTCAATTTCTCAGATTTTAGTTCAGAGTATTGAGAGATAGTGCAAGCTTCAATCTTTGAATGCGTTTTGCATTATGTTATGATTGATGCTATTAGTAGTTTGAAGTGGTAACTACTGATTGTTCTCTTTTATCTGGAGAAGATCTGTAAGAGTACATTGTGGAAAATTCCAGAACCGGAAAGCATTTCTTTTGGAAAAATAAATTTAATCAAGATATCATGGGTTCTGTGTGCATTCAATTCATTACGAAACTGTACGCACGTGACAATAGATATGATTCAACACATTTTATTTCTAGTTAAAGTAATTCTGGAAGCGCAATAGCTGATTTACTTCATTATGGGCGTAATACGCTTCCCCACAAACTTG